AAGTAGTTATTCGAAAGGACTATTCGAAAGGATAAAAGTTATAAATACTTCTTATAGAATTATATAGAATATTTACTGATACGGATTTATAATATACGTATGCCAGTAGTTAAATAGTCTGGTAAAATATTATGTTTCATTAATTTTTTTTAAATGAATTTTTTTTATGAGTATCTTTATTTACAAAAAATGAGTGGAATACAAGTGGTTGTAGGTTTGTTGGTATAATTATCTTGTGTTATTAGGATATAATCAATTAAAATTTTGTATAATGCAGGTTCATTCAAATTTTGAAATCTCAATTTACATTCAAATCTGTCATTGCAGATAAATATTCTGCTTCATGCACGTTTATTTGAATATTACTCGCGTTCGTGTGTTTTGTCGTAAAACCTTTTCATCAAAAATTCACCTAGTTAAAAAAAAACTTTATTAACTAATACCACTTTACATAAATTTAATTAAACGCACAAAAATCATATCATCGCAACAGTTTTACAATTTTACTAGAGAGTACTTAGAGTACGCTCTAATCCGATTCTTTGTAAAAAAAAAAAAAACAGCAACAGAATTTAGACATTAATAAAACAATATTTTGTATTTAATTACCTAGAGCTGACTCAGTTTTGTTTTCTTTATTGTCCTCAATTTCGTTTGGTTTTTTTTTAAGCTTTTTCAGTGCCGAATCGCCTAGATAAACATTTTCTATGTGTTTAATGGGAATGGTTAAAAATATATTTTCGACAACATGAACAATAACACATAATTGAACATGATTGAAATGTTAAAACTCTTATGGCAAGTCTGAAATCGTCTGATAAACATATTACTAGATGCTAAAACCAGGTAAATTTAGACATTAATAAAACAATGTTTTGTATTTAATTACCTAAAGATGGCCCTGTGTTATAACCACTACTATCTACTTCATTGTCGTCAATTTCGATTGGGGGTTCTTTAAACTTTCTCGGTACCGATCCGTCTAGACGGAAAAATTAAACTATAATCATAAAACGTTACTACAAATATAACATTTTAAAAATGTCTTTACACATTTTGTTCAAGTATTTTTAACTCTTTTAATTCCTTTTAAAAAGTAAATACCCACTCAATTTACATAAATAACATAATGCCATTAATAATGATTCATTAGTTATATATTTAAATAAGTACTATCATCCAAACAATGTCCGAAAGAAGGTTCAATTAAAAAAGTAATAAAACAAAGTACTAACATAATGTTATACAACGAGTAAATTATATATTATTTATAAATACAACTCGTGTGAAACTGCGGCAGAGATGAAAATACAAGCCGGTAAAAAAATGAATATAATATATACTTCAAACAGGTAAATTCAGACATTTTATACTTAATATCTGAATATGACCCACTGGTACATATAATCATCAGTTCTCTTACCATCTACATGTATTTTGATTACATCATTTGGATTTTCCTTATGCTTACTAAGCACCCAATCACCTAGATAAAAAATCAAACTATGATAAAGTAGTGCTACAAAAACTTGGCCGAAAATTCGCCTTTTAAAGTTGTATTCATCAATTTACATATATGATATAATGTCATTACGAATGACACATTATATAATTAAATACCATTATCCAAACAATTTACAAAAGAAGATTAAAAATTCAATATTATATTAGTATATAATATATAACAAGTAAACTACTAAGCAGAGAAAGTCATGTGACCAACAGTTCCCCCCATTGGTTCTGTACATAAAAAAAATTACCAAGTAATTTTTAGATTATTACTGTTGAAATTATCTTGTCAAAAACAATCAATAATAAAATATGTTATATTTTTTATATAATTTCTTAAGTCACGATTTTAGCTTTGATGCACAGCTGAGTTATGGTTTTTACTTGTCTATTTTCCTATTTAATATGAAAACCATATTTTTTTTGAGACAATATTATGAATATATAGTTGCAATAATAGAAATATTATATATTCAGTAATATGCTTTAGTTAAATTATCCAATAATTAAACCCGTACGAAATTATGACAGGTGTGTGATCGTCCGGTGAAAAATTACTAGATACTACAGGTATTACAATTTACACATACCTACATATAACAGCATTTTATAATTAATTACCCAATGTTGATCCAGTGACAAGATCACTTCCGTCTTCGGCTGGATTATATTGATCTTCTGATGGATTATATTGATTTTCTATAATATTAAACAGGTTTTTCATTCAATTTAAAAGGTTAAAATACAAATTTCTCCAACCACGAACAGTATGTATGTGTATTTGCAATAATAACATTATTACTATCTATACTAGCACTATAATACCTTATTAACTAATGATTGTAATATGTTTTAAATTATATTATCTATTTATAAAACTTGAACTAGATATAGTATATAATAGGTAGATTTAGACATTATATAACAACATTTTGGCGTGCAATTACCTGATAATAGCCCGCTGAAATAAGAAGTGCTCGCTATGGTTGGATTATGATGATGTCCTAGATGGTTTAAAAATAATAAACAAATTCAATAAAAATTAAAAACTTAAAAAAAACTGAGTTTAAAAACGTCTTTAGAAAATCCCTAAATACTTAAAACGAGGCAATTTAGTTCATAATTATTTAGGTCATAAAATAAATTTCCTATGATATTAAAACAATTATTGCGTACATGTTGAAAATCTAAAAATAAAGAGAAATTTTTCATTTTTCTGATCATTTAAATAGTACACAGAACAGAACTAGATACAAAGAACCCGGTCAATTTGTACAATAACTAAAACAACATCTTGTGTATGCTACCTGATGATGACCCAATGGTATAATCAGTTAACTCTCTGGTTGGTGTATATCGTTTTTCTACATCTTCATCTCTTAATACTTTGCCTTCTATTTTGACTACTTCACCACAACGTTGGTCTGTGTTTCTGATACTTTCGTTTTTTACCGGATCGTCTATTTTTGGATGTTTAGGACTCAAACAACTACTTAATCTTTTTAGGGGTGATAATATTCCTAGATGGAAATATACAAAAAATATAATCAATAAAACGTTACACGTGTTTGCTGTGTAATGTCAGCACGGTGTATTTAACGCATAAATGAATATTTGTTATTATTTTTCTAGTATACATTTCAAATGTTACCTACACAGATCATTAAAATGATTACCAAATCAATATTACAATCAAACACTATCAACGAATAGAGTACAATATTATACGAATTGAGTAGCTATGTAGATTATACAACTATGTTTATATTACAAAAGTATATTTTAGAAGTAACAAGACATTTTTAAAGATATTTTTTGTAATACGCTTATTATAATTAAATAGTAGTTGAACCTTTTTTTTTATGATCATCACTGTCAGCACACCTGAAAAGTTAATTTCGATCTTTGAATGTATACTCGATACACAAGTTATATAGTTTTTTTTAATATTTCGAACAAATTTTGACCAAAAATGGATGGTAAAATACATACGTGGCATACGCTGCTAGACTGAACACAAGAAACATTTTAATACTATTTAACATATTACTAGTGTTCTATTATGCAGTTTGTTCAGTTAATAAAGTCTACTCTTTAATTTAACTATACTGAAATATTCCTAGTTTTTCTTAGAATTTATTGGTAAAACTTAAATAAATATGATTAAAATTAAAATTAAAAAAGTGGTTTTATGCTGTCATCTGCACAAATAACTTATACATTATGATTTAGTTGGCAAATATTCAAAGAGATAATCACAGTATCTAAATACTAGTTATTAAAAGGCTCAAAAAAAATCGTTTAAGTAAATTGGTTCTACTTCTTTATTCCATCACAGTTCTACTTGTTTTTATTTATGTCATTTCAATGTATTCTTATTTTTCTGACCGTCAATAATCTTTGAAAAAAACAAGGTTTTGTTTTAATTGTCATTGTTCGATATTACTAGAACATATTTGATTTGTTTCGATAAAATACTGAAAATATACGTTATATTTTTTGTTTTTTATTGAGTTTAGAAAAAAAATATCTTATATTTAAACATCTTTTAGTAAAATAAAACGTGAAACTTTATCAAGACAAATTAATAGTATTAAATACTAATACTATCATTAATGATAACGCTGTAAAATATTGTATTTGTTATATTTTATAACTTTTATACTATTTTTAATCTACCTCAAAGTTGTCGCTTACACTCTGAATTCCTGTTAATTGATTAAAATTAAATGTTAATTTTAATTGATGACATTAATTTTTATGATTTATAAAATTAAGGTACAATCAATTTTTACCTCTCATTCTACATGACGTGTAACTTAATATTTCATTTAATACTACTAAATATTTAACATTATAACTAAATTTTCATAGTGGGTCATTTACAATTATATAATCTTAGTACAGTCATTTTTTTCTCTTTTTTAGATGTATATTTTCCAAATTATATTGTTAATACCCCAGTACCCAATAATTTAAATAAAAGTAAAAAAAACTAAAATCCATTTTAGTTTATTAAAAGGCCAAAAGATTTTCTTTCGCCAGTAATAGCACAGTACCACTGTCAACTATACTCCATACCGTCTATTTATAAAACACGTATGCAAAGTCTTAAATTGTCTGGTAAAAATTGTTTTTGAAACTATAGTTATTTTCAATTTATTTATTACTAACTATAATACTATAAAGCATGATATTTAATAATTTTTTTGTTTAAGTCTCATTTTATAACAGTAAAATATATTTTAAATGTTTATATTTGGGTACATTACATTTTTATTTCTAATTATAAATTTAAAGCATCATGTTCGTTTTTTTTTTAATTTTGATAATTTATGTTGTTATCATATGAATTAACGTTTCCAACCTTACTCTTAATTAATCACCTAGATAAAAAAAAACACTTTTATTAATGCGACGTTACGCCAACTAATGTCAATTGTCTTTAACAATTATTGTATTCTAGCATACACTTTAGTTTCTCTTTAATTGTCCCGAAATTCTTTTGCTGTCATTTGTGATCCCATCGTCATAATTGTAATTTACTCCATAACCGCCTCCTAGGTATTTGTTATTATTTTAAAATAATGAAATAATGTACATAATAGGTAAGTTATTGTTTTATGTCTAATAAACGCATTACCTACATTCAGTGTATAATATGGTAAGACTTACAAGTAAAATACTTGAGGAAATCATTTAAAAAATTGTTTGTATTCTTCAATTAATTGTACATTTTTTGCGAAATTAATCGAATTGTATTATTTCTTATGCGTTGTTCGATTTTACATACTTATTTAAAAGTTATCATCGGATTTTCTCGAAAATGACGGAATAGCACATAAATCATTTTAGATCATACCACCTCATATTTTAATAAGTTATCACAATACCGTAGAATTCACAACGGTAAGCGATTAGTAAATATAAGGTGCTGAAGATCTGAGAAAAAGGGGGAGTAGTGCCGAAACTTGAGATAAGAAATAAAGAGGTAAAGAATAGAGCTGAAAATATAATCAGTATGTTATAGCTGTTGTTTTCAAAGTTACTCTGTCATTTTGTTTTTATTCACCAAATGTTGTAAAATCTTGATCTAGTATCTTGATCTTCATATTTAACTGTTTTCCCTTTGAGCACTAATTCATCATTAATAAAATGTACATTTTTGCCCTCCTTTCTAGAAACTATTTTCCCGTTGATCTTGAGACTGCAACCACTAAAGTCTGCGTTTATATTCTGATCTAATTAATTAAAATAAAACAAAATATGTAATAATTACAAAAATAATTCAATTTATGTTATTGATTATTACGTCTATAGGACTTTTCCAATATCAATAAGTTTTTAAGAACCCCAATGTTAATAGAAAAACAAAAATATTTTTTTTAAAGATAAATAGGTACTAAATTACTATAAAAACAATTTGTTTGTTTTTATTTACCTAATATTTTGAATTCTTCACTCATCTCAGTGTGTATCTCATCTTCGTCATTCTCATCATCGCCATAGTTAGTGTAATCCATAAATGTATTAGATCCTAATTCAACACGTCCGTTTCCTCTTATATCATCGAACCCTTCTATTGTTTTTCCATTGACCTTGAGTACACCATTATTCCATTCGATCTCCATAGCGTCGTTCGCCTTAACTCCTATAATTGTTTTGTAGTTGATTGTGAGTATACCTCCTTTAGAGTTTAAGGATACTACTTCATTCGAAAAGCTTTTCCCTCGTTCAGCTCTATTTGTTTTTTTTCTAGTTGCGTTATCATTAAAAGAATTTTCTTCTTCATTATTATCGCAACATAAACATGAATCTAACCTTCTTAGAGCCCCACGTTTATCTAGATATTGATGTACAAAGAATAATCAATATAAGACGTTACTATTTACACATTACATTTGAAACCAACGTAGACCGTAACATTGATAGGAAATCATATAAAGACATACATTGATAAAATATCATTATTATTATTATTATTATAACGAAACTTTTCCTAATAATATATATTAAAATAAAATCAGTTGTGTGTAAGAAATAAAAATATATTTATTATAAAAGTATCGTTAGACTTATTTTTTTATTTGTCACATTACATTGCTAACAGATTAGATACAATATTGTATTCTGTCACTTGTTATTGAAAATATTATTTTACGGTTTAAATATGTAACCTATGCAACTAACTTAATATTATAACATTTATTACATACATATTCAAAAAAATAATTCGTAATACTTTTTATGATAAAATAAAATAGAGTTTGAATGTGTTTTAGTTACCTTTTTGGTTTTTTTCATTACTGTCAGCACACCTTAAATGTAAACGTTTCTCCTTGAATGTAAAGTACACAAAATCTCTAAATTATATTAAATATTTCGATCATATTTTGACCAGGAAATAGATACTTACGTTACATATGCTGCTAGTCCAAGCAAAAGAAATATGTTTAAATTCACCATATTACAGGAAAACTAGAAAATATAATTTTTTATTCGACTATAATAAAATATCTTTTTGTTCTCAGTATTTATAGGAAACCGTGTGATTAAATATGCCTACAATTTATTAATACAAGTGGTTTTAAATATGTGTTAAGATTTTATCGGAACAAAAAGATTTTAAAATACAACTTTTATGTTCAGCAATTTAAATTTCTATAATATTATCTGAGTTTTTTTTTTAGTTTATTATCTACATTATTATCTATAATAGTTTGACGTTTATTGCATTGTAGGCTATAATATTAATATTCCAATGTAATGTAATTTTTAATTATTTGTATCTTATTTTCAAAACAGGATATTTTTTTTTGCCTACAATTTTAGTTTTCGGATATCATTTTTTAAATATATTTATTATCTAGAAAATATTTGACAGACCAACTGCGTCTGCTAACATGTGCGTTATTAAAACTTAAAATTTTTTTTTTTTTAAATAAGCTCGATCATGGCTTCATTTTATAAAGGACCTGTGAAGTGTAGTTAATACTAAATAGTATACATTTTAATCAATGAAAATGCTTAGACTAAAATATAATTGGCGGGCTTAAAAACAAAGGTTCTATATCGACTTTACACAGTTGGTTAGATCATTTTTAAGGTCTGATTACACTTAGTTCATACTTTCACTGAATCGATACTATTCACTTTTATATCGTTAAGTCCAGATTATCATAATATATAATGAGCTATTAAGTTTTTGTCAATACAATTTTAATTAAAGTTATGAAAAATAAAAAAAACAAAATGTTCCTGTTGAGAAACAGAGAACTCTTTTTCTTAGCGACATTTTTAGATATACGGTATTTAGAACCTTTTGATGTAAATCGAATAGTAATTGTACAACAGATAGAATCTTTTGACAACGAATTTAAAAATGTATTTTTGACATGGTAGTCAACATACCCACACCTAAATATTTTCGTATAATACAAAACTTATAAGCCATGGAATACATACTTAGTTGGTTAAAATAATCTAGGGCAATTAACTTCACCTTTGTTGCTTAAAAGTCACGCTAATTTTTTTGGAGGGGGATTGGATAAAGTTTGAGCGACCAGCTATTGTAGACCTCTCCGTCATAGGGAAAAATCTGGGGAAGGGAAGTAGGTTTAGTACCCCAAAACTATTTTTTTTTTTTGTATCTGAAGCCCCCAAAATTCACCAAACCTTTTATTTAAATATGAGTTTAATTGAATTAATGATAGAAAATTATCGAATATTCGACTAAGTAATGGTAATATTTATTATTTTGTTATAATCAAGAGTATCGCTTTATTAATGTTGCTTTATCATCACAATGAATTTACGCGCCAAAATGTAGTTTTTTTTTTTGCTTTATTGTAGAATTAATGACAACAAGGCACCTTTTGTTTCTCCATTTCATCGATTATTAAAAGGAGTTACCTACGTATCCAACTAATCAAATTATTGAGGTACGTAGAACTTATGGGTTTTCTGTATGTTCCTAATTACATAATATGCCAATTTAAATAATTTGAATAAAAAATAGTACATTACTCCCTAACAAACCATTTTATAAAACAAAACCATTTTTGAAATTCTAATCTAATTGACTTTAGAACCCTTAGTGTCCAATCCCGCGATTCGAAATGCTTAACTAAGTTATTTATTTGATTACGGAAAAATTCAAGTAATGTATCTACAATTTATTATACATTTTGCATTGCATATTATTCCTATTAGTGATGTTTCGATTTAAGGACTATATAATTAAAGTTTGGCTGACTTGTGTATGTTGAGTATGTATTTGACGTAAATTCGAAAGTTAGTAAATAGTCAAGTCAACGCAAAAACTCAAACAAAAGCCGAAAAAATATTCGTTACTTCGTGGTTTATGTTTTTTTTTTTAATTTAAGAAATATGACGTTAAACAGTATTTTTAGCTTCGATGCGTAAATGAAATGGTATAGTTTTTACAATAATAATAACCCACGAAATCTTCTAAACCGCTTAATAGATTTCTTCATGTAGCAACTTTATTGATCAAAAATCGTACTTGAAAGGTATTTTACAAGGCCAAAAAAATTGGAAAGTTCAGCCCTTCCCCTTCAAAATCTAGAAAAATGCCCAACAAATTTAAATTTGTTTTCATTTATATCTAATAAATAACTTTGATTTGTTTTATTTTAATTATAACTTTTAGTGTTAATAAAAATATGTTCATACTTGCATCGTTATAATTGTAACGATGATTTTGATACATTAAAAGCATAATAAAAAAAATAGTTTAAAACATAAAACATTACCGGTAGGCAAATTGATTTAATATGTCTACAGTTTTTATAAATGTGTTTTATACTTATTTGTTCACATGAATTACATACGTGTAATTTTTTTAGTTGGTAAAACTAAAAGAAACATCCAAAGTATCACGTTGACAAATTTTTAGAAGACTCGACAAATTTTTTTTAATAATTAAATTCTACTATTTTAATTATATCTGTAATAATTATTACCAGGGCCAGCAATACTAGGAAATATTAGGAGGAAAATTACAAATGAAGATGTTAGTGTGACCAATGCTAGTAAACAGTAAAAATAATTTTCTTGTAGACCGATACCAGGTCTCCAAAAAAGTATTTAAATTGTAATTATTAGAAGTATTGCATTCTAATATATATATATATATATATGATTTCATAATTGTGGATATTGATATAACAGTATAAGCGTATACACTTATACTATTGTAATGACACATGACAATTTATATATATTTTTTTTTAACTACCTCTTCTTCTACTTTTAAAATACTACTTATAGAATACTATAGTATTATATCTAAAGAATTTTCCATATACGTTTTGAAAAAATTGAAGTATTTTTTATAAAGACATAATAGCTCACTATAATTATTTTAAGTAGAATAATATTTACAATTTTTAGGTAGTGTTCTAGATTTTGTAGGGGAGAAAATTAACTTTTTCAATTTTAAGTTTAATGAAATATCTTTTATTTAAGATTTCTGATCTGTATAAGTAGTTGCTTTATACGAAAATCGGTTCAGTGGTTTAGGAAATATTGTGGGTCTAGACACAAAATAAAAAACCGTATATCATTGTAAAAACAACACTCTCTCAGCTCCACATCGATGATACAATAAAATAACATTAGTTTACGATTAGTTTATCCTGTGTATCTAACCCATCAGTAATGTATGCCGTAGGGAAAAATATGTATAACTTGGTCATATTGAACTAATATTACGGTATATTATTGTATAAACATGGCTAATGTTCCGAAATGTCTAATATTTCTGAGGCATTAGGCACCTAAATTTTAATCTATGTGTCAATTTTAAAGTCTATGTGCCCACGTGTAATAAGTATATTGACATGCATGTACGTAATGCAAAACACCTGTGTATATGTTGAGAGAAAAACGTTAAGTACAGACGCAAATTAAAAAAAACTGATGGTAATCGTTAAATGTCGAAAAAAATGACTAAAAGTCAATTTGAGTCACCCATAATATAAGAAATATTCTGACAAAACACGCGTTAACAGTTTTTTTTTTTGGGGGGGATTTTCTCAATAAAACAGAATATCCTACGAAGACCGGACCATTATGTCTCTTAGCCTCATCATAATTAAAACAGGTTAAATCTGTGGGGATTTTTCTGTACATACAGGGTGTCCCACAAATATTTAACTTTTGTACTAGTGAATATTTTCAAGATTTTTTTTTTAAATTAATTTAATCTCATAGACACCACGTTTTTTATTGTACTTAACAGTTTTACTGAAAAATTAGACTGAAGGTAGACCTAGAGTAGGGCTATAATATATTGTACACATTTTATGAAAATCTGTGCTCATACTCGTTGCCGTTAATAACAAAACGATGTAATCATTTTTTTCCTTCAAATAACAGTTTAATGTAGATTTCTTGACTCTAGTAACTGGGGAAACAAATACGGCCATAGTATAATTTTTTATAAAAAAAAAAATTTGTTAGCTGATTTTTGAGAAAACGGTAGTTGTTATAGCCCCACTCTATATCTAACTTCAGTCTAACAGTCCGAAAACTACGCTCGAAAAATTGAAATAAAGATAAAATCTTCCACCCCTTCTTTGAGTGTTTTACATTTGTTGAAAGTCCTAAAAATATTTTATACAAATTTAGAAATAAAGGGAAAATGAGGAATTTTTTTAAGTACCTGGGATTAAAAAGTTGGTACGTTTGTTAGCTTAAGGGGATTGCATGCGGTCGGTTTTTTCAGTAAAAACACATCATTTTTATTCCATTGCAAAGACCGAACCAGTGATCCGATAAGCAATCTAAAAACAGATTTGAATTCGACATAAAATTTACTTGTCATGTAGTTTACTTATAATCGGTCAGAGTACTTTTTCAATTTTTAACTTTAACCCTTTCCAAATTTGATTTTAAAATTTGAAATTTTATATAATATTCAAACGTATTTTATACATAGTAGGAATAAGATATCAAAAAAGTACCCTGACCGATAATAAGTTAACTTCATGACAAATTCAAATCTGTTTTCAGATTAGTTATCGGATCACTGGTTCAGCCTGTGCGATGGAACAAAAAATGTATGTTATATCATTGGTTTTAGAATATACTCTAGAGTATTTTAGAGTATATTCTAAGATCAATGGTAATATTAACTAAAATGGTTTTTACTCATAGACAAAATAATTTAAATTAAAAATAACACCACGAAGCTTATACAAATTAACCGGTAAATTAATTGACATGATCGACATTTATTAAAACCGCTTTTTTCTTAAATATTGCCTATACAAAACTCCTTAAAAACCAACCGCATGAAATCCCCTTAACTAAAACTCCAACAAAAACCTGACGGTAAAAAGAGTAAGTTCCAGACACCCTTCCAAAAAAGTCAGCCTATCAAAGTAGCGATAACTTCATTGTGGCCAAGTCTGCTATTTCTTTAGCTTAGAACCTCACTTCACTCCTACTTTCACGAGCAACACTCTTTTTCATTTGTATTGCTTAACACTTGGCCAGTTTCTAAATGAAACATGACCTTTCTCAATGAGGCTTAAAACATGCTTGGCCACAATATGTTACCACTACTTTAATTGGCTGACTTTTTTGTGAGCAGATCTGAACCTTTTTCTATTTTTCTGAGCTCTCCTTCCCATCACACACGTAACTCCAATTGAGTACATTTGATAAAGATGTTTTATGCTTCAATTATTCATTTACATGTCTACAATTTATTACTACAAGTGGTTATAGATATGTCGTTTGCATGAATAAAATAGTTATCATAATTTTGGTGTTCAAGTATTTTAAAGAAAACCCACAATATGTAAAAATGTTTTCTTTTACACAAGAGGTTCGAAAATAATATTTTTGTAACAATTTAGTTCTAATATTTTAATCTATTCCAATTTAACGTAGAAAGTTAATGTTTATTGCTTGATATAGCTAGTCTATATCGTCTAGTAAACATTTTTTTATAGGTACATTTATTTTTAATTGGTTTATTATTTTGTCTAAGATAAAATACAAATATCTGGATACACGGGTTGGCAAGTATGTTTACAAACCCAGAATACTATGCAATACAATATTTAATATATTATTTTATTAAAATAAAATCAATTTAACGTTATTAAATTAATTACAATTGATTTTTACTACTAGTTGTAAATTTACAGGGTCATTTTCAATTATTTGAATTTGTGTAGTTATGATATGAATTAACAGCTCCAACATTTAAACACCTAGAAAAAAAATTATGTTATTAATACCACATTGCATCAATTTATAAAAAAGACAAAAAATTATATTTAACGATTTTATTACAGTGTTTTAATTAATTTAGATATTGGAATGAATTTAATACCTACAAGAAATTTACACACAAAATTTAGTGTCATAATTTATTTTTATTTTACTATCCAAACAATGGCCATAAGAAGATTTATAATTCAATTTTAGAAAAATAGTAAACTTTTATAATAGGTAGGAATATATTTTATTAGTAAACCACTAAACAATTTTCAGATTGTGTGCTTTAGAAATTCCTTGCACCACAATAATATGAGTGGCAAATTTCACATTAATTTTTAATGTTTGCCACATTTTTTTTTTGACAAGATTTTTTTCATTGCTTATGTCATAAATTTATTTTCTGTGCGTTTGATAAACACATTAAAAAAATATATCCTAATAACACTAAAATACAATTTATTTTTTATCTTTAATAATCTTTAACTACTATCATCTATTTATGAAACACATACTTAGGCAGGTCTTAAATCGCCAGGTATTACTTAATACTTGTAACATGCCAGTATTATTTTTTTTTTTTAACTTGAAAAGTAAATAAATCTTATTTAATCACCTGTTGACCCTCTACGTCTGTTTGGATTATATTGCTTTTCTACAACCTCTTCAGGCACTTCATTTGTTTTGATTATATTATTATTGTTTTCTGTACGTTCATTCTCGTCTGACGAATCATCTTTTCCTGCAAATATGCAATCCAGCAACAAAACATAGAATCGTTTTATTGCTTTGCACATTCCTACTGAAAAATATAAAAACTCTAATCAATACACTTCTTACTTACTTGACCACACTTGCTTACTAGAAATCTTTACGAATCGATTTCACAGTTTTAGTTTATTATTTTTAATTAATCCGATTTCTCGTTAAGAAACAATTCTTAATACAATTATTATTAATTATCTATTTATCTTATCCGAATAATTAACAGAAGAAGGCGTGTGAGCTAAATAGATTTAAGTTTGGTTGCTGAGCGACAAAGACTGACATTGAGAATATCTTATAACTATAAGCGTTTTATAGAAGTAAGGTGTGAGGTGTTAAAGAGCGAAGAGATATTTTTTGCAAGGATTGAAATTAAACTAGGAAAGTAGCGGTAAAATTAAAAAAAAGAAAAATAGAATAATATTGGAAATTTTATAGTATATTTTTTTTTTCAAGAAAGCTTTTTTAGTTTTTTCTTACTTGTAAGATTTAGATCCATATCAGTGTCTTCGTATTCGTCGTCATTGTAACCCTTGAATGAATTACGTTCTAAAACAACACTTCCTTTTCCTTTAATCCCGTAGAATCCTTTCTTATTCCCATTGACCTTGAGTATACCTTTATTCCATTCGATTACCATAGGATCGTTTGCTTTGACTCCTGGAACTTTTTTGCGGTTGATTGTGAGCACGCCACCTTTACATCCTATGGAAACTCCCTGATTTGCCAATGCTGCTCTTGGAACTTTTTTTCCATTGAAAATGAATTCATCATCAATAAAGCGTACTTTTTTGCTCTGGGTTTTGAAAACTTTTGTGTCATTGATCACGACTGCATCGTTCTTAGAGTGTTCTCTTTTGATCGGCTTTCTTGAAGCTGTTTTCCTATCGACCATGATTCCACCATCTCCTGGGTTAAGTTAGGTTAAGTTAACATTGAAATTCTCACTTACTATTTCATGTAATTGTAATTACTTTTAGTAATTAGTATATTCTTTATTATATTGTCATTAAGTTGTTTAAAAAAAAAAACGTTATTACCCATTTTATAAACCTCGTCTTTTCTCATTATACTAATTTGAAAAAAAGTCTAATTAGTTATAAATGTCTATTGAAAGCTCTTTCGATAAAGTACTGACCGATGTACAATGCCACGTCCTTTCGCCATTTAAGTGGTGGAATTTTTATCTTTATTTCACTCATTTACCGTAGTTTTGTGACTGAAGGTAAATATTGTTTTTGCGTTTGGTTAACATTATATACATATACTACCTAAACTAATATATATATATGTATGTATAACGTCCGGGGTTAGGACGGTACGGTTGATGGGGTTATTATATACAGAGGATACTTATTAGTAGTCACTTAACCGCCGCTAGGTTAATTTTTATCTGACATATATTATATGTACTAATAACATGCAATAAAGTGTTAGTTTAGAATATATTACAATATTGTAAAGTAACAAAAAAATATACAATTTTATTACGTGTAAATGTACATAAATTTAATCAGTAAGACCACCCATGATAGTGTTATAGAATTGATTAATACCCATGAAACGTACCTCATATATATATTATATCATATATAAAACACCAGGTGGCTCTTAACATGACTTGTGACTAAACCAGACCAAACTCATGGTTGCCGACAATGTAAAACCGTGGAATAACAAGAAACTGCCACATTTTGTCTTGTAGCAATATCTATTAATTTAAAAAGAAAAACAAAATTTGCCACATTTCTCATTGCGGCTTATAAAACATTTAAAATGGTAAACTGGCACAACAATCAAATTTGCCAGTTTGGTTTGTTAAAACCTTTTGCTAAATAGCCGCAACCTCAAATCGTGGTGTCTGGCTGAGACCTAACTGAGTAGCTTGAAAATAAAATAACAAGCACCGGGTAACAAAAATAATTGAAAAGTATTGAAATTAAAGCTTTAAAAATTAAAATTAACCATTTGGGAGAAGGTTCAATTTTTAAGTTGTATTTCCTCAAAACTTTATTTTTTTCAGTTGTGGCAGTCTTGCTTCAAGGGTGCGACATGATTGGTACTAATTGTATGCAATAATTATAGGCTAATTTTAAGTACTTTATTGTCTTTACAGTGCTTTTATCAATACATATTTATATTATTATATATATTTATATATATATATATATATATATATAATGTACTATTGGCGGTAATATCACATTTACAATTTTATGCGTTTTTTTACAAAGTGATTTTATCAATAAGCAATTATATTTGTCATTAGTCTGCACTGTTTTTGATGTGTGAATGAGCTTTAGTGACTGGAATAATGCTTTTGTCTTAAACTCTTCTGGTTTTCTTTCCTCTAATCCTAATTAACTAAGTACCAGTTTATGGTTTCAATTAATTTTCTAAAAAGTGATTTTATCACATTCAGTCGAATCCCAACCCAAATTGTAATGAATTTTTACTTTGAGTATATCCGTCGATGGCCATACTTAAGTTTGGGCTACTATTTGTTTTACGGACTATTCAAGGCAGTAGTTGTAAATGAATAAAATATTTATGTGCGCAAATAGTATATCCGATCATAACATTTTCAAGTTTTCACCATTTGCTATGACCTTCGAATTTTCGACGTAAAAAGTAACACTAAGATGTGCAAAAATAAAAATTTGTAATTCGAACATCGACAATTTTATATATTGTTTTTGTCGTTGGATCGATGTATTTTTCTGCTTAAAATGTATAAACATTAATGGATGGCAAAAAAAAAAAATGACTAAAACATTCTCATGTGTGCACAAGTGCCGAAATTGTATAGTTTTCGAAAATATTTTCGATTTATTATAACCTTAGCATTTTTGGTATAAAACGTTTTACCAACAAAATTACACACGGAAAACCCCGAAATTTCAACAACCCTCCCTCCTCTCCTGGGAAAAAGGCTAAATGTTTTTAAAACTCGTTTGGCGCAATTTTAAGATTTAACAACTAACAAGTCAAATTAATTCCAAATTTGTTTGGAATTTAAACAGTTTCCAATAGAAGAGATAGAATTTTTTACTTTTCGAAGCAAAGTTTTTGGGATTTAGGTCGGGAAAATTAGACCAATGGTATATTATCTAGAATGGAACTATAACATATGCAATTTTCTCAACAAAAAAAAAACTGTGATCACATTTATTTTATATTAAGGAAACCCCCCCTCCCCAAAAAAAAGGAGAAAATTGCACTGTTACCGTAGTCAATTTCCTGGTTGCTATGTGTGAGTGAGTAAATAGACAATGAAAATATTTCATTATATTGTTAACAACGATATATGGGTTATTATAACAATACATTTATACAGAGAGAACCTATTTTATATTTGTGACCAATTTATAAAGATAACATAATGTTTAAACTCAGGAAAACGTATTGAAAACACGTTTTAAGTTGTATTATTTATTTAAAATAATAAGAATACTTGTTTTGATGTATTTTTTTGTATGCTTGTTGTTCAAACAGTTACAGTCATACACCAATTTCCTAAATACGAAAATATTCGAAAACAAAAACATCTTTTATCATCGACCTAGTTAAACTATTTGAAGTCTCCAACGTTAAAACCTTTTTGATAATTATTATATTTTGAGTCCAATAATTTTTTACTCGAGTAATTCAAATTGTATGGGCAATTGTCAGTATTCCGAATTTAGTTTTATAAATGTATAGAAAAAAATTATATTTTAAGACTAACAGAATACATTCCATAATCTCTTATGGAATATTTTAAAAGGAATATAAATATTTGGATAATAATGTGGATAACCTAATTTTTGATTATAAATAAATCCTTGGTAGTATTATATCCAATATTAACATTTTTCAACTGGAATTTCGATGAAATTTATTCTTTACATGAATGCAAAAAACGCCTCGATATCGCGTTGATGGGAAAATATCTCATACCGAATTCGGGCTGTCTCTCTACGCCGATGAAAGTGCTCCAACAAAGATATTCACGACAAACATAATCTGAATTGTTAAATCTTTTGCAACAATACGCGACACTCCAATCCTTGAACGCATTTGAATATTTCCGCACATGATTTATCCCGTAAGTTAAGGGTGTTTAGAGACATGTTCAAAAATTAATCTAGAATTGAACATATCGCTTCTTAAATAATTTGCCGGTAATTTAGAATTCGACACGTTGATAGCGATATTTTTTTGTTAATATTTTAGTTTAAAAAAATGACTGACTAGCCGACACTAAATGTTATACATGCAGACGCCAACCGTCCTGACCGTTGAAGTTATACATATACATATATATATATATATATTAGTTTAGGTAGCATTTGTATTGGGTGTCTCAAAAAGAACGCCGGATTCAAATCTGCTATAAATTAAATGTATTTCTCTTAAAAAAAAACATAACAAATATATCATTCAGGAGAAGTTGAACATTTGAACATTTGTGAAAAAAATTTTCATTATATTGTTAATTACAATATTTGTATGGATAACAATGCCGACAAAATATTATAGAAAGACAACCAACCCTTATCGTATCCACGCTGACAATGCAATTTTTTTAGTGCATTATAAATTCTCCTTACAATGTTTTTATCAGTAGTTGTATTTTAACTGTCCACAGTTGCCCATAGAAGATTTTTTTCACTACTTCTAGTCATAATGATTCCTAAAGAACTATGATATCCCCGCCCTCAATATACTTAGTCCCCACAATGCCACAACTCGATTTGCTGGTTTTTTTTTTTAAACAATAATCTGTATTATATAATTACCAAAATTGTTAGATTCATCTGGCAATGATGATGCTGGCAATGCACACCTGAAGAACGAACGTCCGTATTAAATTAATTATGAAAACTCGATATTTAATTAATTATTTTCGAACAACCTTTAAATTATAAAAAAAAAAGTTAGTAAAACTACATACGCGCAATACGCTGCCAGACCAATAAGCAAAAGGATAATTTTAATACTTTTTATCATTTTACTAATTTTGTACGTCAATAATATATACTTAAATTCAACTGTTATAATAAAATGTAACACTACTGTGTTAAAATATGCAGCGTTTTTTTCGGTGCTTGTAAGACCAAAATTCAACGACTATGTCGGTAATTCAATGGTGTAAATTTGGCCGATACGACTGATTTTGATTTTTGTGTATAGTATTTTGACGTTTATTGCGGTGTGCAATTTCTTTCTAATGGAAAATATGTATTTGCATAGAAACTGTTACGTATCAGCAGTATATTTTTCAAAAAATTATTTGAATAAAATAATGTAATTTGAAATATTATCTCTATTTCTCATTTCCCACAAAGAATAAATGTTTTTCGTATGACGATACAATTTCTTTTTTCCACTCATATTAAAACAATTTTTACACAATACACTTAAAGATACATTAACTATACAATTATTTATTGTTATCTTTACAATTTATTATTACAAACGTCTGGGATAAAAGACGTGATGAGGATATTGTTTGGTTGACTCCAATAATATTTAATGTATATTTTTTTATTTAATTTTATTGTAATACAATAACTTTAACAACTTTTATGTTAGGTTTTTTTTTTTTAAATTTGTATTTCTCATGTAGTTTTTTAACATTCAGTACGTTAATTTGAATTTTGATTGTTTGTGTTGTTGTTACAGGTGAATTAACATATTTTCAACATTGCTCTTACACAGCATCTAATTACCTAGATAGAAATATAAAAATATATAATTAATGCAACGCGTTACACAAATGTATTTATTTATAAAATTGTCTTTAAAAATGTTATTTGAGTATTTTTAATTAATCCAACTCATAACTGTAACCATCCTAGTATGAGAAATACATTCTGAGCACATATTATTTGCCATTACAATTATTGATATTTCATTTTTGTACCAACTACAGATTCGCATTGTAGCATTCCAATAGTTATAGTGATCTTACAGTCTGTGACTACACCGACCCTATTGTACTGGTTTTTTTGACTACAAGTATTTTATTTAGAATGTCGTAAATAATAGCAGTTAAATAATATTTTTTTTCTTAAAATATTCGTTAATTATTATCAACTATGAGTAAAAATGAATTGCAGCTTAGTAAACCGTGTTTCGTATAACCATACATTTTACGGTATGATAAAATGGTAGTTATTTTTTATCTGGTGAACGTTGTTTTTTTTACACATAATAAGAATATTATTTTGTTTTACTTTACCTGGTATTACCCACTAGCGTTGTCATCAGCTGGGTGTAAAGGATTTCCTTTTGCGTCTGCTGGAACTTTTCTTCCGTTTACCGTGAATCCCTCCTTTTCATTAAATTTTACAATTGGATGAACGTTTTTATTTCCAATATCCATCGGTATTTTTATGCCGTTGATTATCACTCCCTCTTTGTATATACAAATATTTGGACCTGTCGACAAATCAAGTAGATACAAAAATAATACCTTTAATCAAAATCATCATTGGTCCTTGGTTAGTGATCTATCCATGAATATTATCTTTAACTATTTGTTTTACTTTCCAAAAGTATACTAGTTTTTTTTTTTTAGTGTTAACTATAGATCGTTTTTTTATCGCTTACCGTTTTTAATATGTAATGGAATTCAAGGTAGGAGTGTTCTAGACAACATTGTCATACTCCAGAATAGAACAGTTAATGATCCAAAGAGATCAAGAGCCGAAAGTCCTGATAAGAAGGTCAAAGAAGACGGTAAGATTATACAAAAAGATATGAGAAAATATTGAAATATATGTAGCAACGAGGATTGCTTTTAGATAGCACCGATAGGTACATGATAAGCCCATAAATATATAGTTCGGATGTGGAAAACTCGGATAAACTAACCCAAATTCATACGATTAGTGTTGTGAATAAATAATGGTAATGAAAAATAACGAAAATTCTACTTACTGCCATCGGCATAGCCCTTATTATCCATATTGCTCAATCCTTTGTATGCAATGCATTTATAATATTCGATTGGTCGTGGTTCTGAATCTGGTGATGGTGGAATATTAAAGACAACTATTATCCAGTTGGTTTTATTTTATTTTCAAAACAAATCCCACTATGGTTTAACAAAATATTTTAATATCGTACTTATTTTTTCGCGTTCTCGCGTTCTTTCCACGTTCCATTCGGGTCTTAGACAGAATAGTTTTGACAGTTTTGGGGATTTTACAGCTGGCTGCCGACCTAACACTTATCCCAAGAGACAGGAGGCTATTTCTCCTACATTCCGCCATCATAAATTTATGCATGGTTTTAGGATTTATACTTTTTTTTTTTGTTTTAATTTTCAATTTAACGAAATTCACACGAATCTACACAGGTTTTTTGTATCGGTATTTAGAAAACTGAGTTGGAACTAATTTACATTTATGATATTATACCGAATCTTTAACGGTCTATTATAACAAAATAAACGTTTCCTTGTTTTGTTTTATTAGGATTTTGAGGCCCATTTGGGTTTACTAGCTTATCGTCTAAAATGTGTAAAAACGTATTACAACTTTTAAAAAATATAACATTTCAACATGTTTTTTTAACTAAACTCTAATGTTTTTGAGCTTATCCATTGTCCCGCATTCGTTGGCTGTGAACATTTGGTTTTTGTCTATGATAATATAATTTATTTTTACCGGGTGAATCACTGCCATCAATGCTGTCCATATTAACTCCTAGAGTTGTATCTCCTCCGCCTGTATATTTACATTTTCCCTTCGAGTTATTTACCTCGCTGTTATCACAACAAAAGCATATTAATCTTCTCATAGTCCCTAGATAAAAATATATAAAGAACATTCAATAAAACATTATTCTTTACACGTGTCATGTCTATTCTGTAATGCAATTTGCAAGCAAAGTGTATCTAACGTTATAATATTTAAATTGTAAAACAGTATGCATTTAAAACAGTGGTGCGCAACTTTTTCTGATGCACGGCCCCCAACCAACATTTTATACGTTGTATACATACATATTCATATTTTATATTTTTTTGGCAACCTAAAATAAGTATATGTGGTAATATAATTAGTAAGTTTTCTTAGTTATGTTCTGGAATTATTAAATTCTGAAAAATAATGGACTTTTTAGCAGTACTCCATAATTGGAGACAATACGACCAAGTTGGTTTTATGGGCGATTATATATATATATATATATATATATTAAGATTTTGGTTTTTAAGATTAGTATGTCGGTTATTAATTAAGAAGCGTACGAAGGCATAATTTAAGAATAAGTTTCTTGTAGGAATATGGATACTCCACGTTAGTCGTTTGTTTAGATTTAAACCTTAAATGTATTTCACTATATCAGAGGTAAGAATGGGAATATTATTTAGAATGACCCCGGGACAGATTTGTTTTAATTAGGTTTAATACGCCATTTAGTGTACCGCTCAGTCAGTCAGTTAATATAGCTTTGCAAATTTGCAGAGGCAACAATTTCAATTTTTGCATTCTTAGGAAAATTTTGCCTAAGAACAATCTCAAATTTTGAAATGATGAGCCAAATGATTCTTAAAAATAGCAGTCAGTCGAGCAGGATTTTATTAAAAGATATAATGATTGAGAAATATATTTGTTTAGTTTGTATAAGCCTTTTGGCTTTCATACCATACCTTACCAAAATCTTAACTTATGTCTAGGAATGCACAGGTACAATGTAATTTTTGTTCAAGTGGAAAGGAAATAGCATCAACAAGTATGTGTGATATATACTTGATGAATTGTATTATGGAAGGGGTGAAAGCCAAACTGCGAGCCCGGCAAAATATTGTTATATTGTTGTATGTACTATTAGGGTTTTTGTGTCACATTTCTTGCAGCTAAGATAAAATATTGTATTCTTTCACCTATTGTTGAGTACATTATTTTAAAATTTAAACATATAACCTATGCAGTTAATTTAATATTATAACAGCCATTACATACATTACAAAAGCCAAGGGCTATTAAAAAAAAATTATTTGTAACTCACTTTTGATAACAAAAATGCATTTAATGTTTTTTAGTTACCTTTTTTGTTTGGTTTATTACCGCTAGCACACCTTAAAAGTAAACGTTTATATTTCAATGTAAAATTTGTAAAAATATATATCTAGATATAATTTAATATTTCGAACGAATTTTGAACAAACGATTAATACTTACGTGGCATACGCTGCTAGGCCAAGCAAAAGAAAAATTTCAATATTCAGCATTTTACCAGTGTTATATTATAGTATGTATTCAGTTACTAGTTAAAATTGAATTCGACTAAAATGAAATATTCTTTGCTTTTGTCGCTTATTTAAAAGACAAAATTAACTTAATATGTCTACAGCTTATTTTAAGCAATATGTGTTTTATGTTTGTATGAATTACTCAAGTGTTATTTTTTGGCTGGCAATACTAATAAGAACTAAAAAGAAAAAATCAAATTTGGTCTTTGTAAAATAGTCTTTGTTCCCAGTACCTTTTTGTAAGACAAAATGTAATAAATACGTCTACAATTTATTTTTACATGTGTTTTATGTTTGTTCGCATGACTTAATACGTGTTGTTTTTAGTTGGCAAAATTTAAAATCAACATAGACCATAATATTATATAATACGTTGTTACGATATAACACTTGAACTATTTTTTAGAGTCCTTTACAAGAATAGCTTGAACAAATTTAATTGCTTCCAATTCATTTGTATTGAGAATATATGGTAGAGTTTAAAAGAAAGAGGCGAACTAGTCTATTCTATCCGTTCCAAAACCGTCATTCTTTCATTATTTAATTAATTAATGGGTTATGGCTATTGGATATTGGATGTTGTATTCGGTGTGTGATTTCTGTCAAACCTGATCAAATGCCATGTTCCCAGGGCAAGACCTGGGCAATTCATATTTATTAAAATAACAAAATATACAAAACTGTGTGTTGAGGTTGAATTTTTAGTAAAAGGGTGGACACGATAAGGGTGGGATGTCTGTGGTTCCTAACATATTTCGTTGTTGTTGTTACCAATAGGCAAATCAACAGGAACTTTGAATGTTGCCTCATCGACGCATAGCAACCTAAAAGATTAATTTGATTTAAGTACTAAGACTATGGTAATGTGTATGTAATTTGTACACGCTGTCTCAGAAATAAAATAGCAGTGTTGCTCATGAAAGTAGCAGTGAAGTGTGGTTATGAACTAAAGAACTAGCAGACTTGGCCACAATGTAGATATCACTGCTTTGATAGGCTGACATTTTTGGGAGGGGGTCTGGAACTTGGCCTTTTTTCACTGTTAGGTTTTTGTTGGGGATTCCATTTTACTTAGCTCAACACAATAACATGATATTATCACCACTTCATAGTGAAAAAAAAAATATTTTTTTTTTACTTAGCCTTTTTTACACGGAACAAAGTTAAGAGTTATTGCTGTTTTATTATTATATATCGTACATGTGTAAATTAGCTAATGATTAGAAAAATTGAATTGTGTGGTCTACATTTTTTTGTTTATAAAATTATGTGAAAACCAAGTGGTTTGAATAACTAAAATATAGTATTAAATATATTCTTTTATTTTCATTTTTTTTTCATTGGGATATAATCAGTTTACAATTTTTGAATTTTCAATTTGTGGAAAAGACAGACGCTTAACTTTATTTTAAAAATGTTCAAAACAAATGTATTTTTATTAACGAGAGTACTGTGGAATATCCATATTTATAATATGTTTTTGAATTTTCATCTTAATTCCCACCATGCCGTTTTCTTAACCTTTCGCTTCTTCTTGTTGCGTTTCTACGCCACCATTACGATTTCCCGCTCCATATTGTGGAGATAATACACCGTTGACAACGGGTCCATCATCAGTAAAATTTACGGATGATCCATAAACAATTTTGCTGTCGACTGTGAAGTTATCGCCGGTCATGTCTACGTTAAGACCCCGATTTATTTTTCCAGCTATAAATGTTTGAAAAAAAAATCGAATTAGTTAAAATAGTATGTAAATAGTGTAAACACAATACTCCATTCAAGTTTCACCTAACCCACCGTCATTTGTTGTATTGTTTACGTTATCGGTTCTTGTTGGCATTCCACGGTTTGCATATCTATTACCGTAGTCATATTTTCGTGATTGGTTATCTGGAAATGCGCAACATTATTCTCATTTAGTTTTTAGCTTTTGCAGACTACAACTACCGGTCGTTACTATGATGATAGCCTAACGAGATTCGCCAAACTTGTAAATTTACCAATGCATACAGTACAGTTTTCTATAAATACACAGATGTAAACGGTGATTAAATAAAACTACCAATACACAAACTAAAACGGAAACACTTAAATTATATAATGAAAATAAATTTAAAAAACTAATAAACAACTTCTAAAAAAATATAAATAAAGTTTAAAGCTATAAAATTTTAGTAAGAAGAAGAAGGCCATCCCGAATTATATTACTTGTTCTGTGAAAATTATCAATATTAGTGATATTATTACATGGCCTGTTGATGGGAGAAAAAAAACTCAAAAACTATAGCAAGAAGCTATAATTGTATAGGCTTTCTGGAGTTTCTTTGTGTTTAAAAAAAAAATCCGTATCATCACTCGTTCAAGTTGTTCCTAGTAGTGGATATATAATAACATTATAGGGAATGGGAGTATTTAGTTTAATTATATATTTATAGGGGCCCCACCCCCCAAAGATATTTTGCCTTATGGCTCAAAATGTCTCAGTCAGGTCGTGCCCATTGGCATAGTTGTTGGTGGTGATTGCGGATATCTTAATACAAACTAACATGTACATTAAAATTGTATTACTGATAATGGTCAATTTACTATTATAGCTGTAGCCGGCATATCCTTGATTATTGCCGTGTTCCCAATTGGGGGGCGATACAATTGGTTTTAGTTGTTGTTTAGGCCTATAATAATCTTTATTGCTATCTTCGCTTTCGTAGTTTTCATCGCTTTCATCATTTTCATCACTACCCATATGCATTGAAAATCCGCTTATACCTTTTCTATTGTTTTTACCATGGATGTTTCTGTTCATGTCATCTAAAATATTTGTTAATTATTGTAAAAACGAGTTATGAAAACAACATTTTAAAAACCATAGACTGGCATAGTTACTGGCATTGTATTACTAATATTTACTATAACTAAATATTTTTTATTTTAAACAAAACTGAGCATTGTATGAAAATTATTATTTTTTTAAATATTATTCAATTAAGCAATCAAATGATAAAGTACTTCATTAAAGTATTGGGAATAAACTAATTATAAATTCTAGAATAGTTTTCGAATTTTTTATAATTTTGTGCTAACTTCGCTAACTTCAGTTCACAAAAAAAAAATTCATCTGGAAATGTAACTGCATTTATGGCTAAGATTTTAATAAAAATATTTTTTTTTAGTGCTAAACTAAATAATATGTCTTTTAAAATACTTCTTAAACAATCCTAGCATTGTTGTGCTGATGACGACACGCCTTGCAGATTAAACTGCATAATTAATAAATACATTATTATTTGACTGCTTAATCAAATACCACGTTATTTTAAAATATTTTTCAAAAAAAAATCAGGTCTGTTTTAAATAACTAATTCGATGAGTATTTTGTAACATATTTAAATTTTTTTTTTTTAAATGTTTTAACCCACTTTTGTGCTATTTAATTACCTTTTCTTTCAGATGCGTTATTGCCAGAACACCTGAAAAATAAACCTTCAATGTACATATTACACACAAAAACTCTCAGCATAGGTACATTTTTTATACAAACTTTAAATAAATTACTTACACCACCACATACGCTGCTAAACTAAGCAAAAAAATAAGCTTCACATTCATCTTATTAATAGTGTTATATTGTATAGTAATAACACTGAACTGTTTTAAAAAGTACTAATAAATTGACTGTATTATCATACTATGTAATCTCAGTATTTTTAGGACAAAATTTAATTATTGTATATACAATTTATTAACATAAGTCATTTCAAGTTTGTTTGCTTAAACAATATATTAGAATTTTAATTATTTCGTGGTTTAGACAATATAATATATTAGTTTGTGAACAGTCTTTTTTATATTATTGTTCATAGAAATTGACAATTATTAGCGCGGAGTACACAGTAGTTATAGCTATTTGGCCAATAAATTTAAAAAACACTATATTGAATTTTTTTTTTATTAAAAAATATATGTGAAAACCGGGATAAGCGGTAAAAAGAATTTCGAAACTTATGTACAAGTATTTAAGCTTAGAAAACTGCGTTGATCTATTTATGAGTTTTTTCTTTATTAAAAATAGCAATTTAAAAAATATGACATTTCACATAATTGTAGAGATAAATTATGTGCGCAAAATCCCAATAAAATTAATAAAATAAATAAATAAATATGACATTTGCTTTTAAAGAAATGCTTACATTTATCCCACTTTGCCTAAAGACAAAAACTGAATTCTCTTGTAACTTAGCCAGTACGATATTTATTGTAAAAACATAGGGTGAATAATTTAAATAAAACATTGCTTTTTTCTGAAAATATTATTTATCACGTAGTTTGACTTTTTACAATTATAAATGCATTTAGAACTTCGATGACAACTAGTTATAAGCAGTTTCTTTATTTTTATGATTTATATTTAATATAATATTAGGTATTTTTCAGAATTTCCTTGATATTTTTTTTTGTAAAATATTATAAAAGCTGCGATGAAATAAATTCACCAACTTCTAAATTACTAAAAAAATGTCAAAGTTGGCTAGAATACTATCTAATATCTATGGTTAAGCGTAACAATTTTTTAATAGTTTTTTTTTCTATGAATTTTTAAAGTTAATGCTTTTATAGTATTTTTCAATGAGTTGTTAAAAGTATGTGTATTGAGTTATCAACAATAAAAAAAAAAAACGCTTAAACACAGCTAAATTTGGTTACAGCAATTCCAAGACATTTTAGTTTTTATTCTACATTGTTTTATTTTTCTATAAAAATGATTGCAATAGACTGACTGAAAAAAAGTATAAATACACACAAAAACTATAGACTTTATTTCGTATTTTGTTCAAATTTGAAACCAGAAATAACGTTAAAAAAAACTTACCACACATACGCCGTTAGACTAAGCAAAAGAATAATCTTGATATTAATCATGTTACTAGTGTTATATCATATAGGTTTAATACTCGACTGTTATGATATACTGTTTAAATCGACTGTATTGTCGTACTATGTGTTCCCGGTATTTATTAACATGGTGATTTCAAGTTTGTTTTGCATGAACAATATATTATAATTGCGAAAACAGCAGCAAGCGGGAACTTTATGATCAAATATTTAAGGTAGCAATACTGCCTTATTTCATTTTTTTTTTTTTCTATATTAAATTTGGCATTTAAAAAACAACGCAATCTCTTTTTAAAAATTACATACGTCTTATTCCGCTTACAATAAAAATTCGACGAATAATACAATTTGAGTACCCAATAATTTGGTATGAACCACCGAACAGTACACCCGATTGCTCTATAATACAATATTATATTGGCATATCCAAGTTGTTTACAACATTTTACTGGATTATATTATTTTTTTATCTCGGCTAGGCTTTGGACTATACAAATTATATTATTAAAATACCCAGTCACGCGTGTAAATAATAATGGTACGCAGTCTTCGCTATTTTACCACGAAGGATGTGTAAATCCGTTATTGGATAATCGAAAACGACGACAATGGCCGGATGACGCTGTTCGACATTATTATGTCCATAGTAAATAGTGCCGGTGTACTGAGAAAAAAAATTAAAAATTACAAGTGGCAGCATGCAACGTAGGTTAATATATAGTACGGTTAGGTTACTGTACACAGCAATGCACGGTGATGTACTCATAATGTATAGTAAAATTACATTAGCGTAATGCACTATACACATGTTGAAACAAGCAAAATCGAATCCCTGTTTTTAATATTTATAAACCATTTGAAATTTCATTATTTAAAAAAAAAACTCTTATTCGCCGTTAATGGAAAAATATTTAAAGTTATCTCCTCCTCGTACGATTCCCAGGCACTATCAGGCGAGGTTTTACTGCTCCTCTCTATGATCACCGTTTCATCAAAGTCATAAATTAAATCTTAATGTCGTTGTAGAAAGATTAAGGAATTCCTCTTAGAACCTATCGTAGAAACTTTTAATTTAGAACCATTTATTGTAATGCGATCAAAGCTCTGTTTATGATTTCATTTTAGTAGATTGTAATTTAAGGTAATTTACCCACAAACGTATTCGAGTACATATGCGTTGTGACTTATGATTATGAAATTGAAAGTGTTAAACAGTCGAGAAGAAGAACAAATGAGTTTTTTTTTTTTTTAGGCGAGTACTCAAAAACCCAACAAATAATTAGAGGATGGCGCTGTACGAAATATGGAAATTTTCGAAAAATAACCTAACAGCCTGTATGATTCGGCATGGATCGATTTTTACAGTCCCGACCCGTTAACCTATGCTCTTCATATTATTTTTTTCTCAACTTACAGTCTTGTTTTTTATTTTTGTACTTGCCAAAATGTAACCAAGCCTTTACGACCGTCGGGCCTCCCGCTGCGGCTTCCGATTTCGTTTTTTGCAGCACTCCAATGGGTTACACGACGGGTTAGTGCAAAACGCATAAACACCGACACAAGTAGACACAATAATAATATACAGACCGTCTGGTTGGAGGAGGAGGAGGGGGGGGGGGGTAAAAAGTAGCTCGAAGCATCGTTAAACGCCATTTATTATACATGCGGCCTTCGCTTTGTATACCGATTTTACACGGTGTACATTAAACGGGGTTATCCGGATTTCATGTTGCAGTGATTTTTCTAAAGACAAAACTATGTAAGCTAAAAAAGTTTCTAATAAAATCCTTACTGTGTGTTATAATTGTAAAAAAAAAAATTGATCTGTTAAAGATGAATTGTTAAAATTCATATAGCAACATACATGTTTCAATTATCGATTCAAAGCAGAATGATGTAATGAATATGATGACTGGCCGATAACCAGTTTTGTATGAACACTTTTTGAACTATTTAGCATCTAAAGTTTAAGCAAAAGATGAAGTGCCAATGAGCTAAGCGTGTGGATACAAACAACATTACAGTGTACCCCCAAGCCTAAACTATAACTTAAAATTGATAATAACTATTACTTATACAAAACCGGTAACAATTATTATTTTGATTTCATCATTCTGCGATTTGCTGTTTGACTTTTAAAATACACCACTTAATAATACCCTTTAAAATTAAAGTTTTCAACTTGAATATTAATTATAATTTTGTATCAATAAGCAAGTATGATAAGGATTTTGTTTTGACATTTTTTTTAGCTAAAACAATATTATTTTATAAAAAAAAAAAAATACTGTAACATACAGTTTCAATAACCCTGTGTATACTGTGCATTAGTTATTATGTATCAGATTACCACATAATATTATATATCGTTATGTCATGTAAGTGACGGTATAATAATAATAATATACACGTCCGAGGGCCGCCGCACTCGGTTGTCAGCGGCGATTTGTTAATGAATGTTGAACCGGTTATTTTGATGTTTTTTAATGGAGCGAGAAAAAAAACAGAGAAAAATAATTATAACAAATAGGACTTGTACAAACGCCGACAACGTATCGATTTAGGGACAATTTTCAGGTTTTTTTTTTTGTTTTCGAGGAGAAGGGAAGACATCATGTGATAATTTAACGAATAGGTATAGCCGTTTAGCCGATCCCATCGTTTGAGGACTTATCGTGGACAGACATCGGTTGTTATGTACAAACATTGAACAATACAAACTATACACGATATTTGGTTTTCCTAATCGAAATGGTCAATCTGGTGTCAATTAAACGACATGCTGCATTACAAGTGATTCCCCGAGTAAATATGGGTGTATTTATATAATAAAACTTACAAGTAGACCAATTCTACGGGGTCGGAAAAATTACTATAAGTCGTGGGCAGTCTTTAGTAAGAAAATGTTTTTCAACAATGGTTAGGATCTAGAAAAGTACTTTTAATTGTGAAATAAATTCATTTATAAAATGACGTGTTGACAATTTTTTTTTTTTTTTGTGCATATATAAAAGAAAAGACCCTTTCAATATAGATTAATTTCGAAAATACTTATAACCCTCTAACCTAAAATTACTAAAATTGAGCTACCCGGTAAAACCATAGACTAGAACGTTAGGTTAGGTTATTGTACATCTAATCGGTTTGATGATTATATACAATAGATACTAACATAATATAACATTGTACGGCTCGTCATTGTGGTGTTCGTGAATAATGAATATCGCCATTTGCTTGGCCTTGACACCTTCAAGGACCGATGGTTTTTTACTTTTTAGCCTTTAGACTTAGTATGTTTTAAGGTTTAAAAACATTATAAATACATACAATATAGTTCATACAGCATTCTAATGTACATTTTAATACGCGCACCGACGCATAAATTGGACGAAACCTTGAACGTGGGCCGCAAGAGACGACCTAAGCAAAATTTCTAGTCGGACACAAAAAGCAAATCTATAACATGATTGTATATTACAATGTAGTGGCTAAATTAATACTTGAAAATGTTTAATTCTCCGGCCTGTGCAACGTGTACAGTTTTAGAAAACAATGGCTTTGTGCGTGTAGACTATGTAAAGTTCAATTACCTATAGCACAACATCATCGTGCCGATATGTATTTTATAATATTATTTGCAAATCACATCAGCGTTTTGCCTGGTACGTAAAAAACATGAAAGGATTAAGAAATTTGAAGACGAGAACCAAAATATAATATATTGAGCGGTCCATCATTAATAAATTAGTGTGACCATTTTTCAAAATAATTATTGCAACGCAAAGTCGTAAAATCACTTTTAAGAAAAACACACACACGCGAATCCTAAGACGGCGACAGATGATCTTCGAGCCAAGGGGCTTCTACACCTGCCTATTATTTTGGTCGAAAACAACTCATTCTACTTCAAACGTACAGTTCCTGAGAATACTCATATTTAAGTTTTGGAAAAACATTTAAATTCTTGATAACATTTTCAAGACATCGACTGTCGCAAAATTTAAAAATTATTTTTTGTTAATTAATTATTTTAGTTAAAAAATCAAGTTTTTTACATAGAAATAATTAACTAAAAATAATTTTAAAATTGTGCCACAGTCGATGACTTGAAAATATTATGAAGAATTCATATGATTTTTTAAAAGTATTTCTAGGAACAGTACGTTTGAAGTAGAAACATATGTTTTTGTACAAAACTAGATCCTATACGCGTTATAAAAGTTTAAAAAAAATTAATTATCAAAATAGACACTTCTTTCCTATGTATGTTAAAATATTTTGCTTTATGAAAAATTAATTTCAGCGGTTAAAAAACGATTGTGGACAAAGAAACACATATTGAACGCTGATCAATACTTGATAATTTGTATCTGTATAATAGCCTCAAGAAAATAATTCTACCAGAGATTGATCTCTGATCGTCACATTATTCCTGCGGCAACAGTATATTATTATATTATTCCTTTCCGAAGAAACTCTCAGACAAACCGAATTACCATTAAACGAACTGCATAAAACACAGTGACTGTAATAATTGGATTGGTTGCTTACTAAGACAAACCAATTTATTGGTGTCCTTATGGCTATACCTAATATTGTACGGAACGTAATGGAATTAAATCTACAGTTTTATTATACAAAAAAAAAAAAAACAGCACTCAAACATAATAATATTATAATATTGAAACGACGACCCCCACGCCCAAGTATTGTTGTCGTCCACAATAAAAATAAAAGATAAATAAAAAGAAATTAAGGTGTTTGGTGAAACAGACGTTATCGTTCCTAATCTTCAGCGTGAAGTATACACAGAAAATAGTTGTTTTTAGGATGTAAATTCTAAGAACATAATGTTTATATCATTATATGCATCTAATAGGAATGTAAATAAAAGTATATAATAAAAAAATGGAATTTTTCTTTTTTTTTGTGCGTGACGTTTGGATACTTAAATAAGAATAATATGTAGTATAATATATAATCTTTATAATTAGTAGACATAAGAGCAAAGTATAGTGTATACTCAAAACACTGTAAGCTAAATTAGGGGTGTTCATTCGATCACATTTGACAAATCTGTCGCTAAAAAAAAACCTAAAAATGTATGTA